AGAATTGGTTAATTGGAATAATTTCAGGGAATAGAGACAGTTCTGAATCCTCTGGTATCTGGCCATGAGGCCATTAGGACTGTTAGAAGAAAGTAGGGGAAGGGAAGTGATTGGATATGGACCTAATGTGTCCTCTAGTCAGGGCCTGAAGACTAGGTCATGACTACATTCAACATATTAAGACCTGTTTTCATCTGTGCCAAGCACTGTGCCTGGGTTTGTAGGCAGGGCTTGTAGTAGGAGGTGGGACCCGGTGCTGCTGTGAAAGAAGCTACGGAAGGGGTCTGATTCAAACTACTCCAGAAGGAACATGTGGCCACTTGATGTCAGTATTACCTCCGGATGTCAGCCGCAGGTCACCACTAATCTATTTTTGTTGTTTATATTGTCTTTTAAAAGTTTACTAGTATTTACCCCAAACAAAACAAAACACAACAATACTACATCATATAGGAGCATTAAAAAAATGGGGGAAAAATTTACTTGATTTAAACTTTAGATCCTGGAATCACATGTGGACATTATTCATATATTTGTTTTGCATTAAAATATGTTATATCTTGAGATAGGAGTCAAAGAACTTATACAAAATATACTGTATATATGAACTCATTATGATACCTTTAAAAATTGCTCTTTTCTCCTTTCTAAATATTATAGTATACATAAAAATTAAAACTAGAGCGACCATATATATGACCCATTCCTGGGCATATATATATCCAGAGGACTCCATACCTTACGATAGCGATATTTGTTCCATTAGGTTTGCTGATGCTCTATTCACTACAGCAAGGAAATGGAACCAACCTAGTTGTTCATCAACAGATGAATGGATAATGAAAACTGGCATACAAATAATGGAATATTATTCAGCTCTAAAGAAAAGTAAAATCACAAAATTTGCAGAGAAATGAATGGACCTAGAATGCATAATGTTAAGTGAGATCATCCAGTCTCAGAAAGTTAAAAAACCACCTTATTTCTCTCATATGGGGATTCTAGCCTAAATGAATATATGTACATATGTATATGTTTATATTAATTTAAAACATTTTATTTAGAATAGCTGCATAATAGTCTTTGCATTTGGATTATGTGTTTGGCTTTGATTTGATGTAATTTTTTGAAGTCATTCCATGACATGGCCTTTATCTGGACTTCATTCCTTCCCATTGATGACAGAATTCCAAGACATGGATAGTCCATATTTTGTTTATAAACTACTTGACAGATATTTGGGTTGTTTCCAGGTTCAGACTATTAAGAGCAAAGCTGCTGTCAACTCAGAAACACAGATATCAACTCAAAGGAAATAAGAAATTGCTCCTTCTGGAGCCAAATATGAGTGACCATGAAGGTTTGTATACAGATCTTTGGATGACTGTATGTGTTCATTTGTCTTGTGTAGATACAGAGTGGAATTTACTCATATTCTACATTTATGTGCACCTTTTAAGAATCTGCCAAAGTATTTTCCAACGTGGCCACACCATATTACATTCACCTCAGCAATATATGAGAGTTTTAATTTCTCCATATTTTCATTAACACCTGTTATTGCTGGTCTTTTTTAATATAGCCGTTCTGGTAGATAAGTGTGGGAATGACTTTTCTGGGAATCACAAATTAAACTTTTACATAACTTTGTAACCATTTATACTATGCATTCATTTATACTATGCATTCAAACTGTTTTCTTACTGTGTAATCACCTTGTTTAAATTTAACTAGCTTTAAGAAATGTGGGAATGAGTTTTATAAATGGACATAATCTGGACTAATGACTTCTAATTAACCCCAGCAAAACCATGTGCTCTTGAATCTTGTGACCTGGGTACCTGATCTCATTTCCTAGGCAACCTCAATTTTGGGGATAAGGAATGGAAAGCTTGTGGTTTAATAGTGATGTGTTTGTGACAAGGGATCAATTGTGCTGGATAGCTTTAGTTGTCAACTAGACAAACCTTTGTAGAGGGAGCCTCAGATGGGAAATTTCCCCCACTGGACTGGCCTATGGCCGTTGTCTGTAGAGTATTTTCTTGATTATTGAGTGATGTGGGAGGGCCCACCTACTGAGGGTGGTGCCACTCCTAGGAAGGTTGTTCTGTATTGTATAAGAAAGCAGGCTGAGCAGGGGCCAGGGTAGCAAGCCAGGAAGCAGGCTTGGAGATTCTGCGCAAAGAGAACAGGCAGTAAGACCCAGAGGAGCCAGAATCTCCAATCTCCCACCTAAGTAGGTTGAATATGGCTGGGGGAACTCTCAGTTTCATTTAAAATCCAATAGTAACTATCTCAGAAAATAAAAGAATCAACCGTGGAGGTCTTGGTTATCTTCATAGTCTGATATAGGAATCTAGTAGAGAAAATACATAAATTAAGACTTAGAAAACGCCAAACTGAGTGAATCAACAGTGGATGTCTGGTAATACCTCCTCAACCTGATAGAGAAAATGTACTGACCTTGTAGAGACACCTAGAAACATGAATGTAGAACAAGACAGGCAAGGGAGGAATCCTTGGACAGGCAAGAATTTCCCATTGGGAAAGGAGTGCTTATTTGGGAAGTTGAGCTGGTCTAGAAAAGGAAGAGAGAGCAGATGTAAACCTCAGTTTGCCTTTTGGAAATGGGTAAACTTGGAGTTCAGCACAGTGAACAGTGAATAAGGGTCCAGAAGAACTCAAAAGGTTATCTAGTAAAGAAAAGGAATATCCGATGTTCTGATGGGGGCAGAAACCCAGAAAGGAGGGGCCAGAACTCTGACAGTAGTGTACAGAGCCCAGTAAAGAAGGGGGCAACCAGAACCCAGACAGTAGGGTAAAATCCTAAATGGGCCACCAGAACCCCAACAAAATGTAAGGTCAGTGAGAGAAAAGGGAACACGAGGGTGGGGAAAGACAGTTGCAGATGGGCATGACCTGAGAAACTTCAAGGAGGGAGAGGGTCTCTGAGGAGAGAGTGCCTATGAGAGATGATTTTTATTTTAGAGAAGGTTGTAGGAGAGCCATCAGAGAGTAAAGATAGCTTTTAATATGTGTGCTGGGTAGCTTTAGTTGTCAACTTGACAAGTCTGGGTAGAGGGGCCTCAGTTGGGTAATTGCCTTCACTGGACTGGCCTGTGGTCATATCTGTGGGGTATTTTCTTGGCTGTTGAGTGATGTGGTCAGTGTGGACAGTGTCTTTCCAGGGCAAGTTGTTCTGTATTGTATAAGAATGCAGGCTGAGCACAGGCCAGGGGAGGAAGCCAGTAAGCCTCATTCCTCCATGGCCTGTGCTTCAGCTCCTGTCTCTAGGTTCTTGCCCTGAGTTCCTAGCTTGGACTCCCTCAGTGATGAGCTGTGACCCAGAAGATGTAAGCCAAATAAACGCTTTCCTCACCAAGTTGGTATTGGTTAGAGTGTTTTGTCACAGCATTTGAAAGCAAACTAGAACAGAAATTGGTACCAGGACTGTTGGGTATTACTGTGACAGAGCTGACCTTGGTGTGTTTGGGAGGATTGTGGAAGCATTCAGGACTTCGGGCTGGAAAAACCATTTGTACTTAGTTTGTTGCTGTGGAGTTTGGAACAGTTATGCTGAAAGAGTTGTAGAGGATGGAGACCTGTCTTGTGACACTTCAAAGGAAAGCAGAGACTATTAGGGCTGTTTGTGTGATATTTTGACTTAAGAATCGTGGGTTTTGGTCAGCTGGGGCTGAGGAAGCAGCTGTAATTAAGAAGAGTCCAAAACCTCTGAAGTGAAACCTTTGCTTTACTGGGACAATTGATGCTGGTTAGCTGGGGCTGAAAAATCAGTAACAGACTGACAACATGCTGGCAAAATCTTCCGGGAAGTATTTACTCAGGGTTAGCACACAGAAGCTGTGGTCCAAAGGGGCCCTGACCCTCTATCTTAAGATGGAAGCAGAACTTGGTAAGATATAAAAGTTTCTTGCTTGGTTCTGGTGTTAAAAGTGTGAAAGGGTCACAGAGAGCAGCTGAGGCTTGGCACCCTGAGAGGTGAGGGAAGGCCATTGGTGAAGGTGCAGCCTCAGTTTCAATGGAAAGCCCAGCTTTTTGGAGATGCCAGGACCATGGAATGACCACCAAGGGCAGCAGCAGGTATGGAAGGGAGCCAATTAGAGACAAGCTGTGTGTGCTATGGATGACAGAGCCAGAGAAGTAGAACTGCCAAAACCTTTTGAAGCCCAGAAGATTGTGAGTGAATCCCAGATGCCCAGCCTTGAGCTACTTTGCTGGACTAAGGTTTTGTTTAAGTGTGCCTGGTTGTTCTCTTTGAAATAAAACAGTACTTGTTTTTAATTTTGAGGGAGCCGATGGTTGACTTTTAAAAGAGATTTTGAACTTTCAAGTATTTGAATTTTTAAGGACTATGGGACTTTTAAGGTTATGTTGTTTTATGTTATAATATTATTAACACCACACCTTGGGGATAAGGAATGGAAAGCTTGTGGTTTAATAGTGATGTGTTTGTGACAAGGGATCAATTGTGCTGGATAGCTTTACTTGTCAACTAGACAAACCTTTGTAGAGGGAGCCTCAGATGGGAAATTTCCCCCACTGGACTGGCCTATGGCTGTTGTCTGTAGAGTATTTTCTTGATTATTGAGTGATGTGGGAGGGCCCACCTACTGTGGGTGGTGCCACTCCTTGGAAGGTTGTTCTGTATTGTATAAGAAAGCAGGCTGAGCAGGGGCCAGGGTAGCAAGCCAGGAAGCAGCATTCCTCCATGCCTGTGCTTTAACTCCTGCCTACAGGTTCCTGATCTGACTTCCCTCAGTGATGAAGCTCTGACCTAGGAGATGTAGCTGAATAAACCCTTTCCTCCCCAAGTTGGTATAGGTTTGAGTGTTTTGTCACAGCAATTGAGAGCAAACTAGAACAATAGGATTGTTATAGATCTCTTTAGAGTCAATCCCCTTAAATGGGTTTTGAGTTTTGGTCACAAAAATGTTGTCACATCCAAAAGAAGGCAATAAGCTATTAAAAAGGCTAACATATTTCTATGATCAATCAAACTAGCTCACTATGATTTTCCAATGAAAATATACCAACGCCCGAGAAGCTGAAGTAAAGTATGTGTGTGTGTGTGTATGTGTGTGTGTGTGGGGGTTATAATTGTGTGTCAAGTCTTTCATGCAACAGTTTATCTTTCCTCAGGTGTTACCAACAGTACTGTGCTCAAAGACCTAGTGCCCTCCCTAGAATCAAGGAGTGACATAAGTGATGTTAGCCCTGATTCCTGATCTTGTGCAGGAAAATTAAGCCCTCTCATAACTCACCTCCAGTCAGGTGAGGTCTGAGGAAAAGAAAGAATGAGCTATATGTCAATGGAGTCCCGAGTCTTCAAAGACTAAGATATTTCTGATCTTCCTCCAATTTAGCTGTTCAAGATTGTATACAATTGTCATTTTCTTAATAAAACAGTTATTTAACTTAAAAAAAAAAAGGCTGGGCTGGGCATCATGCACATGCCTTTAATCCCAGCAATCAGGAGGCAGAGGCAGGCAGATCTCTGTGAGTTCAAGACCAGCCTGGTCTACATAGTGAGTTCTAGGACAGCTAGGGCTACAGGGAGACCCTGTCTCAAAAAGGCCAAAAAAAAAAGGACTAATGTAGTCTAAGATAACTTTGGATTTGGACATGCAACTTTTAACATTTTTGTTGTTGTTTCTTTTTTGAGATGGGGTCTTATTATGTAGCCCTAGTGACCTAGAACTAAGTGTAGGCTAGCCTCGAACTTACAGAGATTTACCTGCCTCTTCTGCCAAAATGTTACCCTGCTTGGCTTGGATGTGTCGTATTTTAACTCTGCACTTCGGTTTAAGTTTTAACAGCACAAATATGGTTCTATGACCTCTTAACATAGATGTAGCATTGAAGTAGTATATTGAACATTAAAACAACAAAAATAGTATGTTTTAAAGAAGTAATGACAGCAGATGAAGGAGAGAGGCATTCTAACTTAGATCAGAAGAGTTTAAGTTTAGGTGTACCCAAAATGGTTTAACTAGGGGAGGGGGACTGGGTAAACCAATCTGTTATAACAGAAGGACCTACTATAATCTTCACTTATATTCTTTTCAAAAATATTTAATATTTTAATTTTATTTGTATGTGTGCATTGCTTGCATGTGTGTAAGTGCCCCTGTGTCATACAATACCTGTGGAGGTCTGAGGATGGCATCAGATCTCTAGGAACTAGAGTTACAGATGTTTATTAGCCACCATGTGGGTGCTGGGAACTGAACCCAGGGTCTCTGCAAGAGAAGCTAGTGCTCTTAACCACCGAGCCACCTCTCTAGCCTCTTTACCTGTGTTCTTACTGAGAAATAACAAGGAAAATGTAAATATTTTGTAAATACAAGAATAGGAGGTAGGACTTCGCTAGGCAGTTAGGGTAAAAAGACCCCAAAGAAAAGTAGCCACTTTCTTGGCTAAAACTCACAATGTCCTTAGGCCTCTTAGCAACCTACTCCATTCCAAAGGCCAAAAATGTCAAAAATATTTGGGAGCTTTTATCTAATCCTTAAAAGATTTTAGGGTTACCTCTTCAGAGGGGGGAATGTTAGAGTAGCCAAAATCCCATAAAAAAATAAATCAATCAAAGAAGAAGAAAGAGTACATGAAGTTATCAGAAAAAATTGATGGGGAGATATGGGAGGAGTTGGAGGGAAGGAGGGGGCATGGGCATGAATTTGATCAAAACACCTTATATGCATGTATGAAATTCTCAATAAATTATTTATTTAAAAAAAGAAATATAAAAAATAAAAGAACAGCTCTTCCTTTAGGTTGGAAGGAGTCATAATTTATTAGTGTCAATTGTTTAATTATTCATGTAGAGGATAGATCATTAGCATGATGAATTTTTGTATAATGGGCCAAAATTATAAGTACATCTAATTTTTTTGTCCAGTAAAACATGATCTATGATAACTACATAATTTACCCAACAGAAAAACAGGTAAGCAGTATTTGGAGAAATCTATTCACAGGGTTAAATATCTCACTTAGTCTATGGCCATACTACCCTGAATGTGTCTGACCTTGTCTAAATATCTCATTTAATTTAGTAAAGGACAAAATAAAATCCTTATGTAAGGACCTAAATCCCTGATAAGCAAACAGGGTCACTGAGGTGTAATAAAGATGGCAAAATTATGTCTTCTTATTGGTATCTGGCAGGAAGGCCTTATTTTAACTTTTTGTATATAAGGCTTAAAAACCAATTATATTTTAAAATTAAAACTTAATAAATCTTATTTGAAACACAGAAAACATGTACACTGTATCCGAAATGTTTAATAGTCATAAGTACAGGCAGAACATGGGAATCATTTTAAATATACTGAAAAGAGATCTAAACCACTCCAGATGAGTGGTTTAACTGCATGTGCAGTTAAAAAATTAAATCATCTAAATAGTTTACACACAATTCATCCATATCCATTCATATGTACACATCTTAAGACCAGGTAATAGCACTCTATAATTTTAACAGGGGCCACAGGTCTTATGAGAAATAAAAACAACTTACATACATGTAACAAGATTTATGAAGACAGATGACAAAAAGCTATAGCACATATAAAATCATAGCACATTACAATAACATGATCACTGCCCTACAAACCCACTGTACTCTCCCTGTCACCAATTGGAACAAACTTGCTGTAGGAATCCGAGATGTTACTAACAGAGGGATCTGGAAGTGACAAAAGCAAACACAGGAACTTGTACTTTTCATGTGACTGTTCTGTAAACCTGAAACTGCTCTAAAAATCAAACCCTATTAAAGCTAATCTTCCAGGTTTAAAATGAATTAAAAAATATGATCATAATTAACCACGGAGAGGCAAAGGATAGTGTAAAACTCTCTTATCCAGGCAGATTGTGGGCCTTTGGGAAGATTTTCCCTGTGGGATGAGTGTGTGTGTGTGTGTGTGTGTGTGTGTGTGTGTGTATGTGTGTATGGCTGGGAGTTAGTGTGCTGTCTCCAGATGAGTGCCTGATCTATTCCTGCACAGCTGAGCGTTGTATTGCAGGATTTGCAGGAAGCTAGGGTAAGGTGAAGGAAATAAAGACTGGAAGGGGCGTGATAAAGGTTTAGACAACATTGCATCTGTTTGCCCACCAGAATGACATAGTTAAAATGGCTGCTACCATATGTCTGGGAAACCATGAATAAATAATAAATGTGACTGTTACCTAACTCATGTAACCAGCTCTGCCAAGAAGCCACTTTTGTGTGAGTATAAAATGTCCTTGAGGCCAAGGGTGCAATGCTGTTGTCCAGAATTGTTGCATTTGCCAGTGGTTCTGTGCATCTTCTTTAATCTCCCTGCTTCTCAGGACTGTCAAAGATGTCCCCAGCCCGTGAACTTGGCCCCATCATGCTGTCTGAAAAAATAGAGGTGAGGCTAAAGACATTCCTGCAGGTTAGAGAAGCAGTTTGGAGGTCTGCAAACCGGACATTGATTAGGTTTTTTTGTTGTTTGTTTTTTATTAAGTAACTCAGGGGGTCAGCAATGAAGGGAGTCCCCAGTGCACTCACTATGGCAGCTGGGTCAGAGTAAAGATAGACTTACCATTTTAGAGAGGCTGAGAATTTGGTACTTGGTTTGATCTAGAAGTTTCACTGGAGGAACTGTAGGTGGAGGTATGGTGAGTTTTTCACTGGGAGATCCCTGGAGGCAGGCCCAAGTCAGGTGGCCCAGGTGAAGGGGAATGGGAGGGGTGGGGATGATGATGGAGAGGGGGATGGGAAGAAGGCAGAAGTGGGAAAGTTTGGCAGAGAAGCAAGCTCTCAGAGAGGAGGCCATAAGCTGCCATGTGTACTAGAGTTGGGAGAAAGCTAGCACAAAGAGAATCCATGTCTTATTATCTGCTTAGACATGGAGTTTGATTAGGTTTGGTGCATTTTTGTACTGAGGAAAGCTATAGCTGGTCCCCAGGTTTCCAATCCTGGAGGCAGGTACCAGTCTGGTGCCATGGAGAAGGGAAGGATGGCCTCACTAGAAGTGTTAATTCCCTCTAGGCTGGGGGAAATAAGTAGAGAATGGAGAGTTTCACAAAATAAAGAGAGCCCTTAACGTCACACAGAGAAGCTGGAACTGAGCAGAGCAGGGAGCTTGGCTGGGAAGGGAAAAGCTAGGAAGGCAGCAGTTTCTCCTCAGCCAGCCAAAGAAAAGGTTTTTTTTTTTTTTTCTGGCGAGGTAGATCTTTAATAGTAGATTTTGAAAAGCAACCTACGATTGGTAGAAGAGGCAGTTTCGTGGCATGAAAAAATATGGCAGATTGGGGGAAGGGTTTTTATACAGGAGAACCTGAAAGACCAAGGCAGGATGAGTGCTGAGTCGGGCTGAGTAGGGCAAAGGGAGGCAGAGCAAGGCAGAGCCGGGCCGAGAAAGGTAAAGGCTTGAATGCAGGAAACCTTGGACCACATTCCATTGCATTAATGCGAGGTCCTTTTTATCTGGAAGTCAAGTCTGTGGCCCTCTGGCCAGTAGTGGTCATTATCAAAGTGTACTGTAGGCAGGCCATGCTACCATAGAAAGAATTTGAGACTTGCTAAAAGGTCTCTAGACTGTTAGACAATTGGTTGCCCATGGCTGTAAGGAGAAAGGACATTTTTCCTGACAGAAAACAGGCTGAAAGGAAGATGTTAGTCCAGTCAATGACTTTATTCAGTAAAAGGGACTGTTGAGAGGACAGACACATCTTTCCAGCACCCCTCAAGAAAGACCAACAGTTTGGTTTCAGGGAAAGTCTCCACCTCACCTGGGTTTGGGTTTCTGAGAAGACAGGCAGATGGTCAGAAAGGGAGAGTTTCCAGAGAATGGCAAAAAAAAAAAAAAAAACCCAAAAAAACAAAACAAACAAACAAAAAACCCACCCTCAAAACTCAACCAAGGTCATGTAGGGATCACAATGGAGGAACGTTCCCAGTTGAGAAGCTAAAGGGTTAAAGGAGGTGTTGGGTGCCAGAGGTTTGGGGTTGGGGGGCACTAGAGGCCCTGCAAGCAAACTCTCTGAATAGGTCACCAAATCAAAGGTCATCAAG